GCCAACTCAAGGAAAGTAACTCTATAGATATCTAATCTTCAATCTTATCGCTATAATATCTCAATTGAATACTGCAGGGCATCAGAGTTTCGGCATGAAAGTGTCTCTCCATATGGTTTTTTTTTTTTTTGTTGCCAGCCAGAAGTCGTTTTGCATAATTCCAAAGTCAAGCCGCGAGTTGGCGGCCAAAATGTGGCCAAAATGTAGGGATGACATACGCTGGCAGGCGTGGATCTGTAGAGGATGCGGATAAGGATGCAGCCATAGTCGTAGTCGTAGTCGCAGTGGTGGTGGCGGTGGTGGCGTTGGCGTTGGCATTGGCTGTGGCGGTTGCATGGCTCAGTGCGCCTAAGCTTCGTTTGATGGTTGACGTTTTGAAGCGTCCGTGGCCCGGAGGCGTCAGTGGAGCTGGCAATGGCACCGGCATTAATAGCTGTGTGCAACAATGCAGCCATGTTGCAACACTTGGTTGCGGATTTGGCGACATTGTCGCATGATTTGAAGATTTCCAGCTGGCGACAAGTTATCAAGACGAACGTGACTAGCAAACAGTTGGCTTAACTTTTTCTTCCACATCGACTTGCCCCGACTCGCCACGCCACGCCACGCCAAGCCAAGCCAAGCCAGAAAGTTGCCACAACGCCAAAGCAGCCACTGACAGGCGATGTGGCGATGGGGCGATGGGGCGTTTAGTCTGAATTTGTGGCACACTGTTTAAGTAAACTAGTGGGCACAACTTTGCGGTGTGTATGATGCAAATGTGCATACCGAATCCTGTGGGCTGCAAATCATCGTGAAACTAATCAAACTCTTGCTGCAACTTTGAAATAAAAAAACTTTGAGAATATTCTAAATCTTGTTACTAGGAAAATCAGCAGAGATGCGCATTAAATTCAAATGCGATCCTGACCAAGCCGAAAACTCGGCTCTTGATGCTGATCTGCAAAGTATCAAAAAAGTTTCGACTTTCTGCCAACAAACTTATATCTTTAAGACTGGGATACCTCCCGTCTAACATCTTTCAATTGAAAATTTCTCATATGAACCATATGAAAGATAGGTCAGCCTAATCAAATCGATGGCACAATGCCCATTAATGAGCTGCTGGTAAATTTTTCAACTATAGCAAAAAGAAAACTAAGTTTGCTCGAAAGCAATATTTCAAATAGTAAGAAAAATCAGCAAGCGAATTGATAAAGAGACAATAATAGTACACAAAGAAGTGTGGGGGGCGACGAGGCATGATCATGGCGGAAGGCAGGCATACGGGCAGAATGAGACTTCATCATAAAGGGCACTTGGCAAAGGTCGTGAGCATAAATTTCAAAATTGTTTTGACGTTATTAAAGCGTCGCCAGCGTCTAGAGAACAATTCGCCAGAATGAGCCAACGAAACGAGCAAACGAAAGGCATTGATGAAGTACATCAACATGAGCATCAGCAGCAGCAGCAGCAGCAACCAGTGGAGATTGCGATGGCGACCTCATATGCCACAGGGCAAGTTTTGGCTTGAAACTTATGGCTAGAGCGGCGCAGAGGCGCAGCGACGGGGTCTCAGCCAGGGCCCAGACCCAGTCGCAGACCCAGACCCAGAGCCACAGCAAGACCGGGAAAGCATTGTGCTGCTTATTGAGAGTGGTGACTAGTGGCCTGGCCGGAGCGGGCCTGGCGATGCTGTGCGGGTGATAAGTAACATGAATCACGTTTTATTTTGCCTTTGGACTTTAACGATGCAGTCGGCGACGTGGGCTGAGGATGCTGCTCGACTCGCTGACTGGCTCAATGCCTGACTGACTTCGACTTCGAGCAAGTCTGAAACTGCGACTGGGACTGCGACTGGGACTGGCACTGGGACTGGGACTGGGACTTTGGCAAAGGTCAGCCCATAGTACAAGTCCCGTCTCCCAGCTCTCAACTCGCAGCTCTTACAGTTCCCAATGACTCGTTGCTGCAATTTTTATTTACCTTTTGTGTACTATGCGAGTGAAGTTCTGCTCAGGTTTTGTATTATGCCTGGAGCGTTTTCAGTTCCTTTTTTTCTGTTTTGTCTTTTGTTGTTGCCCTGCCTTGGAACGTGAGAATTTAATATTTCTTTTCATTAGCCACGGTCGTAGAAGTTCAGCTCGTTGAGAGGTGGGGTGTCTAGTCCCTAGAGTGGGGGGCGTTCAGGTTGTGGCTAGAGTTTCGCTGTACCTTGATGAGAGACAGGCGACACTTACAAATTTCATGGTTCTATTTAAAAAAGGTCGCACCAACTGTGAAACAAATGGCATATAAATTATGCCGAAAGGCCAATGGCAAAACTAGATGTGCGGCAGAGATTTTGAGATCTTTTCAAGATGAAATATTTGGCCAAAGATTGCCGAGTGGCTTACCAAGAGCTGCTGGCATTATAAACAGTATAGCTCCATTAAGCTTTCTTATGATTTGTATACCCTGTAACCATATTTTGGTATCAAAAAGTGATGTTAAAGCTGAGCAAATATATGTTAAAGACAATAAAAGGCATCTCTGCTCATATACTGGACATCAAGGGCTAAAGACTCGAAGAGTTTATGGCACAATAAATGTTTATTGTGCCCAAAACATTTGTATTCCATATAGAAATCCATGTTTGCATTTGTATCTCAGAGGGTCAGTTATTTTTATTTGCCGCTTTGGAATTGAATCATTTCATGCTCCCTTCCCAATTTCCTCTTTGTTCCTTTCTTTGATAAGACCTTCTCTCACTGCCCGTTGCCCTTCTCATTTCGACAGCTTTGGGCGCTAAAAAGAAATTATGACAATTAAGGGAAGCACGCGCCAGTCGAAACCGCAACATAAATCAGATTAAGGCCAGTGGCTACCATTCCCGGCCCACCGCCCATGCGGCGCATGGATTGTGACCACACGCTGACAGCCTTTGTGGCAGTGGCTTTAATTACTGGACGTGGCAAAAACAACTTTTTGGCCACCTGCTGCATGCTTTACGAGCATATCTTTGTGGCGCCCAACTGGCGATTACTGGTCGTAGCCCATTGCCCCTGATCACAAGTAGTTTCCTAAGGCAGCTATCCCCGGCTCGGCTCGGCTCGGCTCAGCTCAGCTCAGCTCAGTGGACTTGAGTTGAGTTGAGTTAAGTTTAGTTTAGTTTAGTTTCACTTTACAGCGCAGCGTGTGGCCTCATCAGTGCTCGCCTTTTATGGCATTCGTGCATTAAAATTTGTAGCCTGTTTCATCATACGATTCACATTTGAATACATCTATGGAAACACAGAAATTTATGCGGCTCCACTAAAAGCCCCAACTTTATCCATAAACCCGCAAAGTTGAAAGGCTGCCCAATCAGTTCGCTGAGTTATGCGCTTACTTTTTGTACCCATCGAGGGTATCATAAATGGCATGTTAGGCTTGTGCAACATTTTTAAATGTTATAGAAAGCACCCCAATTTTGTTTGTTGTTTTCAACAATTGGCAGCTTAGTCTCCCCTTGCAATATCGTTGACAAATTATATTAATGTGTTATAAATTTAGTATCTCTATTCAGGTTTGTGTCCTCGAAAAGTCAACTCGACACCAACCTAAAGGATGGGTATTTCATAGTCGGGCTGCTTTCTCGCCCTTTGCCGCAGCACTCTATTTGTGGAGCCTATCTAGTTGCGCATTTCATCAAATTGCCAGCGATAACTATAAAATTTTACAACATTTTCGCCATCAAACTCAATTCATTTGCAGTTCGAACTTTGTTTAGCCTATTCCTATCTCCCTTCGCCCACTTCGCCCCGCGCCACCTTTAGCCTTAACCACCCCTTCGATAGGCACTGCATAAACAACTCAACTGTTTTCTCAGCTTGCCAAATTTACAGACGATATTTCCATTGCGTTATTTGCGATGCCATTAAAATCGATTTCGGATGCCCGAAAAACTTTTGCAGCAACTGTCATTAGTATTGTTAGTGGGCGCGGGGAAAACTTTATCAATTTGTGGGCGTGGTTTTGGCTAATAATTTATGCCACCCCGCGTAGCACAACGCAGCGCCGCTCAGAGAGTTCACTAATGGCATTGTCGCCCCGGCCCAACATGACTCATCAGTAGTGAAGTTTGCAACGCCCTCCCGTCAGCCCCGTCAGCCCCTTCAGCTCCATCCGTCCCGTCGGTGCTGGGGATTTGGTCGTATTTCAATTTGTGTCCATTCATTTTGTAGCGATTGTTTGTCTTCATTTCCGATGCTTAACCCTGATTGACATTCATGCCCCATCATTTATTCATTGGGCGCCGTTTTAATCCGGAAAAGTTGAAGATGTCAGCCGAGTCCTTGCCGAAAATTTAATTGACTGCTTCGACTGAAATTAGCAGCCCACAAAAGTGCCTGCAATTGTCAGCAGCTGACAAATATTGGCACTCCCATTAGACAGCCGGAAGGCATCTAACTGCTTCCCCTGCCAAACCAGGCAGGCAACCCCTTGAAGATTGTTCTGATTTTTTGACTGGCTTCTCGACAGGATTGCCCGACGACTGCTGCGCAATTTGCTGCGATTTGCAAGCGTCTTACAAGAGAAATTGTGCTGGGGGCTCGAGTTGTGCTAGTTGCCCTCGCTGGGGTTGTAAGTCGGACGAGCAATTAACTTTAGCATTGTTTGCGGCCTGCTCCCACTCAACAATTCACTCCGGGAGTGTAGTTCCTGGGGTCCCCAATGGTCATGAAGTTTCATTGAGCACCAATGGAGCGCAGCTGTCGAGATTTTTGTGGCAGCTAAGATTAGAGAGAACTATTGTGCATGATGCTATTATATAATTTATTTACTGCATACACAACTTCAGTCGCCAATTACTTGAATTTCTATTCGCACGTTGTCAAAGGGTCAAAGTCAATGTACACACACATAAACAAAAGTTTATCTTTTTGCAGTCTACATTTGGTCATTGCCTAATTGAAAATTCCAATTAAACGCGTCCACTTTTCACAGTTTTTCACTGGTGCTCTTTTTCCCAGCTGTCAGCCAAAGTATTTGCAATTAAATAAATGAAAATCTCTTTCTTTACTTTTTACTACCTATATGATATTTAGCTTTGGACAAACGAAAAACAAGTTAAATACGAGGGAAATTTTGGTACAGCAAACAGTTTACACGCATGTTGATCCTCTTTAACCAGATTTGAAACTTTTTTTCACCCTCAACTTTTCGCGCTTCTCGCGTATTTCGGCTAGGGTCTTCCGGGCATGTATTGCTAACTTTTGGCCCGTTTCCAGGTTCCATTTCAGCTCAAGCTTGAACTGTTCCCAGGCATTAGTCATGCTATACCACGTGTCTGTCATATACCTGGCCATGCCCGACTTATTCGTCTGTCTTAAGAGATCCGTGTAAACGTATGTATGCACTACGACCAAAGATAAGACTGTTACACAAAGCCAAAATTTTAAAGACATCCTTCATAAGTGATTAAATCGGAGTTCAATAGGAAAAAAATCTGCAGAAATTAAATTCTTATAAATACAAACACGTTCTTATAAAAACAAATACAAACACGAAATTTTCCAGGCTACTTGTACTCTTAGATTATCTCAGATTTCATTCCTAGCTATGGAGCTAACTGGAGTTCGACGCAAATCTATTACACTGATATGGATATGGCACTTTTATTTAACTTAGTAATTCTCAGAGACTATCGACTTTTGCTTTTTCTATGACTAAAAGGCTGCCTTTTTTATTTGATTGATTCCCAATCGATATTTGACCAACTCGTTGGTATTCATCTATTTTCAAGGACTAGTCAAAATTGTTAGCCGAAAAATCGAGAAATATCTCTCTTAAGCGCTCTTACTCCTGTTCAACTCTGATTGATTCAACATTTTTGATTTTATAATATATTCTATAGAGTTGCACAAGTCCAAAAAGGCGTGTGCACAATCGTCAGCCTGCTGAAAGTGAACATCTTATTGACTATTGGGGTTAAAATGACGCGAGCGCAAAGCGGACTAAGAAAATCGGCGCACAGAAAATAGAGCAAGCTTGTTTGAGCTATTAGCATATTATGTGTATATATGTATGTATATATTTGGCGATTATCTCTGCATACACAAGTTTGGGTGTGTGTTTTCTTAAGTGATATCTTGTGTGTATCTTGCTTGTGTGTGGCTAACTTCGAATGGCGCTCACACGAAAATTTGCTGTTGCTTATCGCGCATAAGATGAATTTATCTTGAGATCATCTGCTTGCTTTCCTTTTCTTTTAATAATTCTGCCAACGCCTATTGCCCGCTTGGCCCGATGGCGCTCTACGTTTACTTGACTATGTGGCCGTCATATTTAAAGACAAGCTTGATATTTATTATACAGCAGGTTTATTAAAGCCCATTCCTCAAGGGCACACAACCAGCAATTAACAAATGCAGCTATGCAGAGTCTTCAGCCTGCTGAAAGTGAAAATCATAGTGACTTTAGGGGTCAAACTAACTCCGAACTTATTTGCGCGAGCGCAAAGGGGATAACAAATTCGGCGCACAGAAAATAAAGCAAGACTTGTGCAGAGCTGTTAAGTGACATATGGTACGCATATACACATACGTACGCGCATATTTAGCGATTCTCTCTGCATATACATATGTACATGATTGGGTGTGTGTTTTCGCAGTTAATATCTATATAAGTATACATGTGTGTGGTTGCTTATGCGTTATCTACCTTGAATGGCGCTCACACGAATTTTTGTAGTTGTTTATTGCTCTAAAGAAGAATTTATCTTAAGATCATTCGCTTGCTTTCTGTGCGCCGAGAAATCATTGTGTATATATGTACGTATGTATTAGGCAAAGCGATAATAAAAATATATGTATGTATATGTATGAGCACAAAAATTTGAACTCTCCGATTGTCTTGATTTCATTGAACACTCGTCAATACATATCTCCTTAAAGTTATGAAAAGAGCTTCTATAATTGGGCGTCTCATGATTGGAGGTAAAACGCAACTCAGCTGCTATCGTCGTATTTAAAGCTCATGCTTTCTTTTAAGTAACAGTATTTAAACAAATTCCTAAGAAGGTCTCTATTAATAAACTAAATAGTCCACTCCTGGAATATACCTTTCCAGGCTCATAATATTTGACAAATATTTATTTGAATGAGAAGGCAAAGGTTAGATTCAATTATTTATTTCAATTAATTGTATAGACCCCAATTCCTTTAAGAGGTATTTCTTTTCATGATCAGGATTTATTATCTACTGATATGGTCATTTACATATTTAACACAGATTATATTATCACACAACTAGAAATTAACAAATTTCCTGCTGCAAGTGAAAATCATATTGACTACTGGGGTCAAAATAATATGAGCGAGCGTAAAGCGGACTAAAAAATCGGCGCACAGAGTATAGAGCAAGTCGTGTTTAGATCTGTTAGCAGCAAAAATTCGTGTGGATGTGATGCACAAGTAGATAATGCACTAGCACGCATATTCACATACGTACGTTTATATTTGGCGATTCTTTCTGCATACATATGTTTGGGTGTGTGTTTCCTCAAGTGATATCTACATATGTAGGTTTGTGTGTGGTCGCTTTTGCTTTATCTACCTTTGAATGGCGCTCACACGAATTTTTGTTGTTGCTTATCGCTTCAAAGAAGAACTTATCTGGAGATCATTTGCTTGCTGTCTTTTCTGTGCGCCGAGAAACTATTGTGCATATACATATGTATGTATTAGGCAAAGTAAAAATAAAAATTTGTATGAATGAATATGCGCAATGGTGCTGGACACAAGAACTGTAACTCTCATTTTGTTTTGGTTCCATTGAACACTCATCAATACATATCGCTTTTAAGTTATGAAAAGTGCGTCTCTGAAATTGTGCGTTTAGTGTTTGGAGGTAAAACTTTCAGCTTATTTATGTATGTGGCGATGCCTGCAATCGTCGTATCAAAAGCCAAGCTTTCTTTAAATTTATTTATTTTTACTTAAACAAATTCTTAAGGCAACTATTAAATAAGCTTAATAAAATATACAAATTGGGCGCTCCTAGAATATACACTTTCAGACTCCTTCAGGTCAGCAACTGCTATCATTTGACAAAATTTAATTTTAAGTATAAGGCAGTGGTTCTTATATTTACATATTTTACTTCAATTGTTTAAATAGACCCAACATTTACAAGAGTATATCTTTTCATGTTCGAGATTTACGTACCCGAGACATGGTCATTGGAATCTATTAAAAAATAATAATAATAATAGACCAGCAATTAACAAATTACTGCTGTGTAGATTGTTTAGCAAGCTGAAGGTAACATCATATTGACGACTGGGGTCAAACCAACGCGAGCGCAAAGCGCATGTAAAAAATCGGCGCACAGAATATAGAGCAAGCCTTGTCTCGAGCTGTTTGCAGCAAAAATTCGTGTATGTGATGCATAAGTAGATAATGCACCAGCAAGAATATACACAACATACGTACGTTCATATTTGGCAATTCTCTCTGCATACATAAGTTTGGGTGTTTGTTAACTCACGTGATATCTACATATGTATGTATGCTTGAGAGTGGGTTTTATTGCGTTATCTACCTTTGAATGAAGAAGAACTTATCTTCAGATCATTTGCTTGCTCCAATTTCTGTGCGCCGAAAAATCATTGTGTATATATGTATGTAGTAGGCTAAGCGAAAATAAATATATATATATGAACATATGTATGGGTATGCGCAATGGTGTCTGAGCACAGAGTCTGTTAGTCTTCTTTTGCCTTGGCCAAATTTAACATTCGTGAATACACATCGCCTTATAATAATTAATATGAAAACCATTAAGTTGAATGGTTGGAGATAAAACTGTTCCTTTACTTGACTACATGTGAGGCGCTGTGTGCTATTTGAGCCAAGTTTTCTTATAATTTAGCTACATTTTAATTTAATCAAACTCCTAAGAAGGCCACATTTAATACCTCCAGATTCATTGGAGACAGGAAATTCTAATTTTTGACACAATTTAATTTTAAGGTAAAGGCCGTGGGTTGCATTAAATTACAGAATCGTCAGCCTGCTTGAAAGGCATTGACTACAGGGATCAAATTAACAGAGTGTTAAATTGTGAGTGCATTGAGCAGAAGAATAAACCGGCGCACAGCAAATAAGCAAATGTCCAAAATTCGAGTGAGAACGATGAGACACATTGACCAGCATATACACCCGCACAAACAGATGTATGCGCTGAGAAGCGCTAAGGCCAGAGATAAGCAGTCACCTGTTTGTGTGTGTGCTCGCTGTCATTTATCTTCTTACGCTCATGCTCTCACGACTCTTTTTGGTGCTGATCGCTGATTGGTCCAATCAATAATTGCTTGCATTGAAGTTCTCGCCTGGTCGTTTGCGTGCTCTATTTTCTGAGCGCCGGTATTTTGGTCCGCTTTGGATCTGCACAGTTTTATTCTGCGTTAGTTTGGTCTCATTAGTCGATATGGCATGATGCTATGCTGTGAGTTACAGTATGTTAAACCTATTATTATTATATTAATATCAATAAACCAGCTACCGATAATTAATAACCTGTGCTAATGTGAATTCCACTACTGGGATCAAATTAACGTTGCGTGGGCGCGAGTCTGAGAGCGAAACGCGCATGTGCGCATACCTTGTACATATTCGGCGATGCCCTCTGCCTGTGCCGATTTGTGTGTACGCACCTATATATCCATGTGTGTGTGTGTGTGAGTGATTGCTTACACAAAACTAATTTGCGCGAGCAGACACACAGAGGAACAGAGAAATTAGAGCAAGCCTTGTGCTGCCCACAAAAATTCGGGAGAGCGCGACGCATATGTAGATAATGCACAAGCACGCATACATACACATACAACTGTACATTTTTGACGATTGCCTCTGCATGTTGTCTATTTGTGCATGTGTGTGATTGCTTGTAAGTTATCTACCTTTGAATGTCGCTCAATTCAGTTTCTTATCCACTTTTCGTCTGCGCAATAATTGCGCATAATTCTGTTTTAGTTAAATGCCGGCCGTCGTGTAGAGCTGTTTAAAAATATAAAAAGTGAAAATTCTCGGGTAAATACCGTCCGTATTTCTTATCGTATGCATTTTCGGAATCGTACGGAATGGGAGTTTTAATTGAAACTACAAAAAATCTTATTGTAAAGTTTGACAAAAATGTAATAAACATTTTAAGAGCCCGGTCGATTTGTAAGACATTCACAATCCTAAATAAAGGCTTTATCTTTTCAAAATCGGACTTAATTAAACCGATTTGTGAGAGCGCGATAACGCACTAGCAGTCATATATGTACATATGCATGCACATATTTGACGATTATCTCTGCATACTTATGTTTGGGTGTGTGTTTTCTCAAGTGATATCTACATATGTATGTATGCTTGTGCTAGTGTGTGACTGCTTGTAAGTTATCTACCTTTGAAACGCGCTCACTCGATTTAATGGTTTGCCTGCTCAATTTTCTGTGCGCCAATTTTTGTCCACTTTGCGTTCACTCAACATAATTCTCTATTAGTGTAATGCCCGTCGAGTAAAGCCGTTCAAAAATATTATGTGATTATTCTCGTTTTTGGACTCGTATCAATTTTCAAATTTTAGTCGGTCTTAAGGACACCAATTCCAAAAAGTATATCCTTCTGAAGTCGGACATAATTTAACCGATAGAAAGCCATTCAAAACTACCAAGCACTAATTATTCTTTATTTTGTTTTTTTTTTTTCAGCCAAATCTGCAATGGACCAAGAACACATTCAATATCGTTGGTAACGAGAAGATCTTGGTTATTTCGTTCTACATTTTGATAAAAATAGCAATGGTTACATTGTTATTGAAATCAACATTGTTAAGTGTTCCTTCTGTCAATTTTAACGACTCACAAATCCTATAAGGTACGGCTTTGTAATATCGGTGTGATATATTTTAGTTTGCAAAAACTTATTCATTTTTCATTTTGTCTTTCAGCCAATTCTGACACTCCCATGGACAGTAAAATATTCAGTATCGTTCGTACCTAGATGACATCTATCATTGGTTAATCCATACAATAAATAGAAATTTTAAAAAATGTTAATATGTTACCAAATCTCGACCTCGATTAAAGGCTTTCAAGAACCCTAAAAGGTATGTCTTTCCAAAATCGAACGTAATTTAACCAATGCGTTTTAGTTTGCACATACTAATATACTTTTCATTCTGTATTTTTCAGCCTAACTTGCCATGGACAACATATAATCAACAATTAATTATGTCGTTTTAAGATCGGCGGAAATTTGTCGGAAATCTTGTGCAGGTCGACTCTCTAAAAACAGCATATCTCCACGAGGAATTATTCCGGTTCCCAAGAGGAATTATGTCGTTTTAAAGCGACATAATTCCGCCGATCGAACATAATCGCCGCGAAGTTATTTGCATATAGAAATATTTAAGAATTTGGTTTTTAAATTTTGTTTACAATCAGGAAATAATCGCAAATGTTGGTACCTAGTTGACCTATATATCCTTGGTTATTCCATACCATGGATATAGTCCTAGCTAACCTAAAGGACCAAGTTCTTGCAAAATACGCAAGAACATGGTCCAAATGTATGTATGCTTTCGTTTTACAGCCGCCCCCAGCAACAGCCCCGCCCCCTGAATGGTTCCTAGTTGACAATTATATCCCTGGTTATACCATACCATCGATATAGTCCTTGGAAACCTAAAGTATCAGATCCCTGCAAAATGAGCGTTGGAATGGTCCAAAAACATGTTTGCTTTTTCTTACAGGAGCCTTTTTCATTAGCTGCTGTTTTACAGCCACCTTACAGCACTCCGTTTACATGATCTGTTACTTAAAAGAACTCATTTTAAATGAGTTACATTTTTTCCCTTAAGGCTATGCAATGCAATTTTTTGTTCGTAAAACTCGTCGACCTTCTGGGCATTTCTGTTCGCCTGGTATTTTTGGGAAATTTTAGCTCTATTGGGGACCGGCGATGAGGGTGCCCCTTTATACTACGTCATTTTTCGGCCGCAAAAATATTAAATGTCGACCTTCTGGTCATTTCTGTTCGCCTGGTATTTTGGTGAAATTTTTAGTACAAATTTGAGACCCAGCCGGTGGCTAGGGTGCCCCTTTTGGGTATGCAATGAAATTTTTCGGCAGCTAAAAAATATTTTTTGTCGACCTTCTGGGCGTTTCTGTTCGCCTGGTATTTTGGCAGATTTTTAGAAAAATCTCGCCAGCCAGCGGTTGTTAGCAGACTCCCCTGGCGGGTATGCAATGGATTTCTAAAAACCGTTGATTTTTGAATTTATGAATTAAAAAAGCAGGATTTTCATTTAAAATAATTTATTTATTTTGTTTAATTGTTTTTTATGCTAATTTTCTTAAATATTTCTCTTAAAAGTGTACAAAGCGAGCGTTAATTAAAATTTTTGCTTATTTGAACTTAAAATAGCTGTATCTGGCTTAATTAAAGTCTGATCCTGGAAAAATTAGCTTTGTCCCTCGTGGAGGTCCTTAGAATTCATTGTAGTCCTTAATTTGTCAATCTGAAAAGATAAAAACACATATAAATTAAACAAGGCAAAAAATGTAAAACACCATTTAATGTAAAGAAAAAAGGACATAACTCGGCCGTATCCTTGCAGATTTTCAAAGGACATGGTGCGTTAGGATCGTATAGACCCACTGCATCGATCTGCATCAAAAAAATACGGGGTCATCTAAGAATCATAGGACTTGTAAAATTTCAGTCGCGGAGCGCACGGAAATGGGCTGAACACATATCCTTAAATATGCCCAAACTGCAAGGACGATCTTAATGAAATTTGGCCAGGTGGTAGTCCTAGCTAATCCAATATTTTTGACACATGGCTTGCCAGGATACGCAAGGATATGGCCGAGCTATGGCTTAATTTTTGATTACAAAATTGTCCTTAACACTATTTTGTCTGAAGGACTTTCGTCCTTTGGGTGGTAAATTCTTAAATGGGAGGGCGAGGACTATCTGCTGGCCAAAAGACATTCCGATAGTCCTTCAAACAGCCAAGTTAGCCCAGATATTTTCGATTTTGGCCAATTTTGCGACTAAACCCTAGGAAAAATTTAGGTGAAATTTTTTGTTGAATCCTTGCAATCTTTGAATGCCAGACGATAGTCCTGCGCCCCGCGAGTTCAAAAGGGTATATCCTTCCGATATCTTTAAGGATTTGGCCGAGTTATGGCGATTTTGTTGTCCTTTGGTTAGTTTATGGTCCTTGTTCATACGATTTGTTTGACATAGGACTTGTCAGGATTCGCAAGGATACCGCCGAGTTATGGCTTTGTTAATTTACGAAAGACCTGTTCTCTTATCTAGGCTGTCCGAAGGACCTTCGTCCTTTTCATTGTACATTCTGAATCGGGGGGATGGGAACTATCGGCTGGCCAAAGGATATAATGATCCGCAAGGATACGCCCGATCTGTAGCCTTTTTTCTTTACAGATAAAAAATAATTTTTCGTCAGCTACTAGAAGGACTTTCGTCCTTTTTATTACATATTCTAAGTTGGGAGGACAAGGTCTGCATGTTGGCCATGGTACATAAGGATTGTGCTTGAAAAGCCAACATATGTCCGATTTGGCTATTAATATCCTTTTTGTAAATAAAGCTATATCTCGGAAACTATAATAACTATTTTTATGTGCTTTGGGCAAATTAAAGTCCTTGTCTATACGAGTTGTTTTACACAGGACTTCTTAGCATCCGCAATGATATGGCCGAGTTATGGATTTGTTAATTTACAAACGAATTGTACTCATAGCAAGTCTGAAGGACTTTCGTCCTTTTCATTGTATATTCTGAATCGGGGGAATGGGAACTTGGCCAAAGGTCATAATGATCTGCAAGGATACGCCCGATCTACGGCCCATCTTTCTATACAGCCAAAAATCTTTTTTCGTCAGCTCCTACAAGGACTTTCGTCCTTATTATTGCATATTCTAATTTGGCAGGGCAAGGACTACATGCCAAATTGTGCTTGAAAAAGCCAAGTTATATCCGATTTGGTATTTAATCGGGATTTTAATCGAATTAACAAAATTAAGGATGTCTTTTGTCCAAATCCTGACGCTATAAGTGCAAGTCGTTTGACACAGGACAGTTTGGGATCCGCTCGAATGTGACCGACTTACGACTTACTTAATGTCCTTTATCTTAGGTTGACAAAACAATGAGACTCATATATGACTTACCTAGCTGTGAATACCAGCAATTTAGAGGGCGTGGCAGAAGCAGAAGCGTAGTCCACAGCCCGTGGGCTAACATGCGCCAGAAGCTGCCAATACCATCGGGTCCTTTGGCCATAGCAGGCGGGAGAGAAAGACCACACAATCTGCTTCAGGCTATATATATACAATAGATCTTAATTGCACTGAGATCATTGGAAGGAATAAGCGGCACCTTCAAATTAGCAAAGCTGTTGTCCCAAATACGCCTGAAATTATTGGATGATGTAATACGAACAGAAATACCTTAAGTTTATAATCATACCTTATATTACAGCGAGCATTTTGATGTGGCGCTATTTCAGTTTACGTCAAAGATATCAGGCTTCCTGCTCTCCAGACGTTGAACGAAAGAACATTGTGCATCCACTTGGGCTTCGTCATGCGCAAACGTTATCTATATCCACGCAGCTGCTAGAACTACGAAGTCATTCGGCTCATTCAAAATAGCATATTACCCCGAAAATCGACAAATGTCGGTTTCATGGGGTAAAAACTTTTGAACTGACTTTGAACTGAAAATAGATATTATTCGATGTTTGGGAAAATAATTATTTATAGATTTTTGGGGGTATGACCCCTTAAAATCGACATCTTTAATATTTTTTAAATATCTCGAGTAAAAAAAACCGGTTTGGGAATATATGTAATAACTTTTTTTTGCTCTTATGGAACCCTACTTACTAATTTTAATGTTTACAAATGGTGTTGGTTTTTGGGTCCACATTTGGATGCTTGCTTGCTTTTTTTTTTTTTGATATCTGTGGACTCTTAAGGATCACTACTGTCGATTGGCATTCACAGAGTTTACAAATTCTAAACTTCGATGGAATTTGACAGAAATGACACCCCGTCCATTTCCAGCGACAGTTTGCTTGAGTTGCGCCAATCGAACTTCCCTACAGATCTGTGACCTGGTAAGTATCACAGATACTACTATATATTTCGATTGAAATAACAATACTTTCCTATTTGCACAGATGCCTTGAAGCTCCAAGTTTCTGTTGAACACCAGAGGACAGCACCCAATGTGCATGTTTCCCAACCGTTGCTTCTGCTCCTGATATGAAGTTTACCCAGTTGCTGTTCTTATACGCATATGATAATAAATATATTTTAAAATCAAAGAAACTTGTGTTATTGCTTGGCAGATGGGGTTTATACATAATTGTCCTCAAAAGCGTGGATTATATTTAAATATTTTCAAATGCTGAGATGCCAGCAAAATCAATAAGGTATATTCTTTTCATATCCTTCAACATATGGTCGGTGGTTCTGACTTTAAATGAAATGTTTCTTAGGCAAAAAAGCCATAACTTCGACATATCCTTTCAGATTTGTAAGGAAAATGGTGCGTTACGAGTCACTGTAACGATCTGCATTAAAAATTATGGGCTCATCTAAGAAGCTGGCACTAGTATTAGCCCTCTCCCATTGAGGGCATTTCAAAGCGCGTGGAGCCCAATAGAAAAGTTCATTGCAAAAACATTTTTGCCACATTAACGCTTGCACACGCCCGCGCCATTTTGTGCCGTGTGCACACACACACCCTCACAAGCACACACACACGCGAAACCTACACACATTAATAACTTTTTTATGGCGGTCACATAAAAACGCAACAAAACTCGCCGCCATATTGAAAGTATTTTTTTCCGGAAACAACTTTTGCTTGCTTTTGGTTGCATTTGTAGTTGATTCTGTACTTGTTATTGTATTTTCTGGCTGTTTTTGTTTTTGTTGCTTTTATTGTAGTTGTTAAATCGCACACGTGTTTTGTAAAACAACGCCATATCCTTCATATCCTTACCCACATGTCCCGCTGTGCGCGTGTTTACGTTGGCTGGCGTAGGGACGAGGGGAGGGGCATGCCTGGTTACCAAGCAGCGCAGATTTCTGGCCGTCGCTTTTAACTGCAATTTGTTGGTAAGGCGCTTAGGCCCCGCGATCCCCTCCCCTCCCCTCTCCCCACCACTCCGCAGCATTCAGCACGCACCGACAACATGCCCGTGCAGTAGTCCTGGATTTTATTTGCTCGCATGTGTTTCGCTGTGGTTTTTTTATAGTCGGAGTATTTAGAAAACAAGTGTAATCAAAATTATATGGGCGTGTGCTTTCTGGCCAGAGGTGTGTGTGTGGGTGTGTGTGGCAGCTAGTCTGCCCCACCCGCCACTCGTAAATTTCAACGCTTACGGCAATGTGGCTCAAGTGTGGATCGGAGTAGGTCGGGGCTTGCGCTTTTAGGGAAGGCTCTCTGTAGCTATAGCTGCGGGTGTTGGCAAGTTATGATTGAATTTGAAGCTGCTTTGTGGCCAGCGTTTTAAGTGTGTGCTTCGTGTGTGTTTCGAGAGTGTATATCTGCGCGGATGTGTGTGTGTGTGTGTGTGTGTGTGTGGGTTAGTTGGTTGTAATGAGAAAAGTTTTGGTCGACTAGCATGAGACAAGTGCTTATTGTCTGCAATGCAATTAGTTGAGGATGAACACCAAAACTGCCAGCCAACAACAAATTTAAAATTTTAATGAAGCAGTCCCAAATTCCTTAGATGCCATTCAAATAAAACAAGCCAGAACGCCGTAGTCGAGTGTGCTCGACTGCAAATCCCCTGTATCCCTCGGACAATTACTCAGATCATAAAATATGGCCCAAAGTGAATTGTAGAATGCTTATGCAGGTACTTCTAAATGCACACAAATAAAAACTAAAGTAAGAGTGCTCTAGTGGGGAGTGCCCGACTAAGGGATACCCTGAACCTTTTCTGCCAGCAACAAATGTTAAAGTTACTTGAGTTGCCTATGCTACTCAAAATGCCTTATGTCAAAGTTGGTGACTCTAGCTCTATCTAAAAGATTTGCTCAACTAACCGGATTTTGATTATCGATTGCTTGGAATCGAGACAAGTAATCGATTATCGGAAGCAAACTCGTACTGCCCGGACACTAGAAGGACCTAACTCTAAGATACATTCGAATGGACACGCAATTAGGCAGACGGACATGGCTAGATCAACTCGCCTGTTGATGTTGATACATTTGTAACCATTTATAAAAGGGCTCAAGGAATAAAAATGAGTATTCTTCAATATATAGTATATATAATAATATGGTATAGTAGCATATATATGTCAATGTTTTTGTAGTTTTTGCAGCTTCCAGACGGACAGACGGACAGACATGGTTCAGTCTACGTACTGAATAAAAATATTTATATACTTAATGGAGCCGAACATGCGTCCTTCTGTCTTTTACATACATAAGCACAAAACTAGTATACCCTTTGTTTTATACCCATTTTCACTGGGTACAGGGTATAAATATCACTGTAATCTTTGGCTAGATTTAAATGATGCATAACATAATATATAACATATAACCTACAGCTATTTTGGCGATCGAATTCCGCGTCTTGTTGTATCTTAAATAAAATTTTTAGCAAAATCAAAATGAAATGCATTTCACATTCAGTCTTTAACAATAAAATAAAGTTTTATTTGTTCATATTGGTTTTGTTTTTGTTTTCTTGCCATTGTTATTTAAATATGTATACACATTTATAATTGTTTGTTCGGTTTATATTTTATGCACGTAGTTTTTTTGTTTTCTATTTTACAGCGACTTTCATAATTGAATAAATTGCATTTGCATCTTACGCTTCAATTGTTCACTTAAATGCTACTTGAATATTTGGACTCTAATTACCAAAATTAGTACTGAAATTGTACAATAGTTAATTAAATGCGCAATAAAACAAATGCTCAACAGTGGCTAATTGGGGGATACCCGCGTTAACAAATACATATTTAAATGGCAGTTTTTCAATTTGTAGTTCGTTATTTAATCGCTTTCTTAGTCAATTAATTAGTTTTGCAATATTTTTAGGGGCCAGTTGGGTGAGCTCTTAAGTGTTATGACTACAACGTCATTAAAAATTTAATAAAAAAAAACGCGTTTGGCTTTAAATATTAATTAGTTTAACAAATCATTACATTAATATACAATTAAGGGTTACGCTAAGAGTTTAGCACATGGAGGACATTTATTGCTACATAATACAGTTATATATATTAATATATATAGTAAGTAGTTTCCTTTTTCACACATATGAATGATTAATATTTTTTTTGTGTGTATTTCTATATGCAGCATTTTTTTTATATTTTACATTTAGCTTTAAATTAAGTTTTAAGCGTGTTTTTTTTTAATTTTTACGTTTTTTGCTGTTTTTTTTTCTTTTCAAATTTTACTTTTATTTTTTTACGAACATGTTCTTAACATATTTCGGATGTGAAATTTGGCTACAGTTGGGATAGAATCTGGCTTGGAAATGTCGCTTGCGGGTGTCATAAATAAATAAATGTGAACTTAATGTGAAGAATCTTCTAATTGATTTCTATGGAAATTGTGACCAACTGTTGCCTAAAGAAATGTTCTCAGCGAGGCTGCCAAATCTCACACCAGTTCTTAAATATTCTAAAAGAGCTTAGACACACATATATACGTGCTTATACGTATGTGTATATGTATGCTTAATTAACTGTAGGGCACATTTAAAGCTTTCACAAATAAAATTGATCAAAAACCTACTTAAATGCAAACTTATTCGAATTGAATGCGTCTGTGGAAAGGAGTCAAGCTAATGAATGGAGGAAACTCTTGTAAAATTCGTATACCATTTGCAGCAAAGGAAACGGAAGCGTGAGAAATGGAAGTGGATGAGTCAATAATAACTAGGATACTTGAGTACTAGGAAGTAAGACATACTAAAGATACACTTACCAATTAAAATGTTCAACTTATTCGCATAGTTTTGGTTCAACAGGAAAGCCACTAGTTGCGCAATCCCTCAGCTTTCATATCTATATATATGTATGTATAGCTAAAATATTAAACAATAGTTTAGGGTCAACTTTTGATTTGCTTGCGGGGGTGCAGGTGCAGGGGCGGGTGCGGGTGCGCGTGCGGGGTAGAGATGAACTTTATACAAATCTGCATGAGGCTAAGCTACGACTACATCTGCGCTCTTATGTTCAGGGTGGCTCGCTTGTGGCAGGGTGGACTCTAGTATTTACGTGCTAAACGCTAAGTAACTCTCGTTAGCCGCTATGTCAGCCCCCGCCGCCGCCGTCTCATACTAGACATACGCTTGGGCCCGTGTGCGCGGCTCCTTGCCCTGGAGCCGTTCCACAAAGTTTCGCCAGCTGACCATGGTCTTGCTGGAGTACAGCCACACGCTGGACGTCACGCCCACCAGCATGGAGCACAGATACTTGACCATATAGATCTGGAATATCGGACGCGCCTCTGGCGTGCCCGGCGGCCGGGCAGCCGGACAGGGTATGGAGAATGGCTTGCATATGTCGCGATGCCACTGAATCATCCACTCGTCAAAGTTGTAGTACTCGTAGAACAGGCAGCCCAGCAGCCCCAGGGCGGGCAGTATGAACAGGCCCGAGAAGAAGCCGATGCGCAGCATCAGGCGCTCCAGCTTATCCGTACGCTTGCCATCCGTCTTCATCACGGTGCGTATGCGAAAGAGCGAGATGAAACCGGCCAGCAGAAAGAGAGCGCCGATCGAGAGATAAATGCACAGCGGCAATATGAGAAAGCCGCCCAGCGAATGCGTGTCCAGCTGGCCCACAAAGCACACGCCCGAGAGGATGTCACCTGCGGAAAAACGAAAAAGAGAGAGGAAATGTTTATATAAGTTGCATGATAGAGAGCGTGTTTGTATTCTTGGATTAAATATCAGCTAATGTAAACATGCTGTCATTGATTATTTTGTAAACTTTAAAATGGGAATCTCTCCTCAATCATGTCTGTCACAGAGCTTACTCTTCGAACATGGGCGAACAGAAATCAGAGCGAATCCAGTATTCCTTTTCGGGACAATCTCACATCTAATTGCACCCATGATCATCGGAAGCAATAGTTAATATAAGAAACATGCATGCTCAGCTTCGCTGAGCTAAGATCTTGCACATTAAAGGGTAAATAAATTATTGGACTTTAAAATAAGTTGTTGGCTCTCTACACATTCGAGCTTTATAATAAAGATCTAAAGAGAGAAGTATAATATATTAAATGGAGACACTTCATTACACGACTTAAGCATCCACAAATAATTTACAATTGTCACAAGTTGAAGCTATTTTTGCTACCCAAATTGAAGCACATTCCTGCTGCACTTGCTCAGTGAAAAGTTATCCAGAATGTGGCAGCTTAAGTTTGCCGCAGTCAAAAGTTTGCTGTATAAATATTGTAGAAATTATACAAGTTGCATGTTGCACAGCATTTGCCTAAGTCGAGTTGCAGTATAAATGTGACAATTAATGTCTACATCTGGCGAAATGCAGCGCAAATATTTGTGGCAAATACCCGGTTTAATGCCAATAGTAGCGTCATTTATGGCACAGATAGAGAGTGACAGTGCGGCGGGCAGGGAGGAGGCAGGGGGAGGGGGGAAGACAAAGATAAACAATGCTTAATTTAACTTTTACCTTTCGGGTAAATATTTACACAACGATTGCTTAAACAGCCACAGTGGAACGAAGTCGTCTCTTTTATCAAATACTCGCATACACACACACACACACACACGCACACATAAGCACACACATTGGTTCAAAGTCAATGTGCCGACGCTTGTTTAAACAATTTACAAGCAGTTGCCCCCCCACTGATTCCCCCTGCCCCATGTTGTTGTTGTTGTTGTTGTTGCTGTTGTCGCCATCCATTGACACCGCAATGAAACGAAGTGAGCGATTGATGGTCGGAGTTGGCTGGAGTCGGAGCTGGAACTTGTTCGCTTGCACTGCTCATTAGCGCTATTTATAGACATGTTACGGGTTAGGCTAACCCGCCCGATTTAGCCAGCTCCTCTGCTCATAAATTATCGATTAGCTGTTGCAGCTGCCCCGCGCTCTCCACCACACTCACCCCCCCCCCCCTCTTCCTCTTGTATGACATGCTAATTCAGTTTTCACTTTGAGTTTTTTTTAGCTCTGGAAACTTGGCGCGTTTGCCAGCCGCTTGCCGCAAATTTGTTCCGCCTGATTGACTTGTGGATACTTTCAATTAATTTGCATGGCCTGTTTACCCACTTGAAGGTGTAATTCACCTATTTGACTTTGTAATTAACAAAGCTTAACCAGCTATTTAGTTGCGGCTGCCTTAATGAACCACGAAAACAAGGAAAATATTGGGCAAATTATAAAAGTGCGTTAAGCGGACTTAAGATAAGTCATAAAATTAATCTGGGGAATATATGTATATAAGCTTGTGGCTCCGCGCTGTTTCCTTAAAATTATTACGTAAATAAAAGAGCCCGATTTATATTTTACAAGAAGAAAATTCAATGCTTAAAGATAAATCGGATATAATATTTTGTACATATAATGCCAGAGCTTCCTTTTCAGCCAACAGATGGCGCCGCTGGGTGCTTCAATTTGTTGCAACCGTTTATATCTGGAAATATAATTCCCAGCCATAAAAGTCATTTGAGCTGCAGTTCTTTAGCAAATTAAGCGCAACGAAATTTATAAGCGCCTGGAAAATGCAGATAAACGAATACAATAAATAACTGCGGCGAATTGGAGTGGGGAGGAGGCTTTGCCACAGCGGGGAGCCAGTTCTAGGTATGCCGCTTAAATGGGCGGTAAGCTGGCACGAGCAGGAGGCGGGGAGGAGGAGGAGCAGCAGCAGCAGTTGGACATCAAAGCGCGCCAATTGAATTGAAAACTAAAACCGAACGCGTTCCACGTCCCACGTATTAAGCGATTTCCGCCACTGGAAACTGAAAATAAATCAGAGATCCCAGAGAGAGAAAGAGAGAGGGGAAGAGAGCGAGAGAAAGAGAGCGAAATTTTGCAGCCACAAACGGAATACGAATGCCACCTGCCGATGGAACGGCTACCGCCCGGTTTGAGCCTCGATATTGATCTTAATTTGCGGCAGAAGAGCAAAAGACAGCAATGATATATCAGAGCGTCAGTTAGCCAGATAGTCAGAGCGTCAGAGTCTAGGGCGAAATGAAATGATATTGAAAGGAAACCAGTCCCTGGGCTTGGTATTGGATCGCAAATCGGGATGCAAGAATTGAGAATCTCGAATCAGGAATCGGGAATCGGGGGTTTGGGGATCGCACTATTGATAAATAAAGAGCAGACAATTTGCTGTTGACGATGTGGAACCAGTTCCCGTCTGGCGAGTCCTTTCAAAGCAAACCCGTTCCGAGTGCCAACCTTTTGCTGGCCATTTTGGAAAATTGCATTTTGCAGTCAGCCAAGTTGACAAGAGAGGCGAAGGAGAAGTCGGTTGCTGCAGTTGCTGCTGTGACAATTCACTGCTGTCAGTACTGCAGCAACACCAACAACAACAACAGCAACAACAACAACAACGACAACAACAACAACGACAAAGCATGTCAATTGTTTTGTATGGCATGAGGAATGCGTGTTGGGAACGGGTTGGGCCTGCGCCTGCGCCTGCATCTGGGTTCAGGTTCAGGTTCGGGATGTTGCGTTGACTTTTGTCCGTCCGTTTGTCTGGCCGTCTTTTGAGTCATTTGGGGCCTCGCATGTTGATGAAGTGCAGACAGAAAAATTCCATTTTTAGTCATGCCATTGCATTTGATTATAAACCAAACCAAACCAAACAGAAAACAAAAAAAATAAAATGAGAAAAAGTTTTTGCCAGCACACATTGAAGAAGCAGCAGCTGCAGCAGTTGCTCTGTGTTTCTGCTGCCTGCGGCAAGTGGGAACAAGTTTCGTGTTGAAACATCCACTCAAAAGGTGTTAATCTGTTGGCCAAATAACGAGTACGCATACTCAGCTCTCGGCTCTTGAGCAGGTGAGAGAAATGAACAAAGGCAGCGCCTTCAACAGACCTGCTGTTGAAACTAGCAAACACATCATGAGGCTGACTTTGACGTTGGGCCTCGAATGAGGTGTCACTGGCCAACAAAAGCATGCTTTGTCTAGCTACAATTTAAAGGTGCTAAAACCAAGAGCAATTTAATTCATGAGACAATTTTTCAGACTAGCTGCACTAGTAGCAAAAAAATGGGAGGAGCCAAACAAAAATAATGTTAATTTTCTCATGCGTGGTTAGATAAATACAACTGACGATGAATAGTGAAAAATTCCTAAGCTTAACAATTAAACTCAAAAAGTCTCATTAAAGCTTTTTCTAATAAGCTGCCTTAAGACAACGCATGGCTGACGTATTAAGGAGGTTTCAATGCTAATTCTAAATAAGTATTAGTCTTTCCACAAATAATAATGTAATGTGGTTAAAATAGCCTGTTCAGCTAAATAGTTAAATAGGCTGTTCAGCTGAAACTAAGCTATGTTTAGAGCTAGAATCGCGTATTAATGAGCTTTTAAAGCTCTTTCTAAATGCATATTAATCTTTTCACAAAATTATTAATACAGCATTCTTCTCATGTTGATAAATCCAAAGCTTAACATGTAAATTAAATAAGTTTGATTGAAGCTTGTCCTATTCAGCTGAAACAAGACAAAGCTTAGAGCAAGAGTGGTGAATTTAAAAGCTTTTTATAAACTGTTATCAACCTTTTTAAAAAATGCTAAATACAGCTTTTTCTCATGTTTAAAAATCTTAAGCCTTACATGTAATAAAAATCTCATGAAAGCTTATTTTATTTAGCTGAAACTAGACAAACTTAGAGCTAGAGGCGTATAAATGAGCTTTTAAAGATCCTTCTAATTATTATTGGCTTTAATATATTCACAAAATTATTATCAAAAAGTTTCGTTCTAATGTGCTTTGAAAGCTTTTCCCCTTAAAGTTACAATTCATAAACAGTTAATCCAAAAAGCGAACAGTTATAAGAGACCGACCTGATATGATTCAGTCCAATAAGACTGCTGTTAAGAAGAGTTTGTACTTTTAAAACATTTCGATGACACGTTGCCCTGTTTCGCTATCGGAATAGTACCTGGGAGACGATTTATGACACTGCTGTCAAAATGTTTATCTTACACTCGAACAGCGTACCTCAAATGATAAAAGATAATGCGGCAAATAAACTTTATGACGACTGATGGAATGCTCGTTATTAAAACAAATACGTGAAGGGGTTAATAAACCAACGGCTTCAACTAGAATCAACTAAAGTTTTCCAACCGAAATAGAATAAATTGTCAAATGAAAAGCAAAGGGAGCCAAAGGCAACATAAGCAGCTTGACAATTGTTTTATAATTATTCTTTTATGCTGGCACACAGAGCAGAGAGTGAGACTGAGACTGAGAGAGAGAGTGAGAGAGAGGGAGAGCGAACGATTGAAACAGCAAGTAAAATAAAAGGAAAATTGCTTAATTTATGTGTCACTTATCTAAATGGAGCAGAGCTGCCAAGCAAACAGAAACTTGAAACAGAGACAGAGTCGAGACAGCGACAGAGACAGAAGCAGAGATAGAGACAGAAACCAACCTAATGAGTGTCTCTTTATATTATTTTTATAAAGCCAAAGCGATAAGCGACTGACAGCAGCTGAATTTTTAGAGGCAGGGGCTTACAAGGGTAAGGAGAGGGGGGGGGGGGGGCGGCGTCTAGTATAGGGTTGCCCGGTTGACTTTCGTTGTCTTGTGAAGCAGTAATTAAAATCTGTTGGAAAGGGGAGTCGGGCAGCCGTCAAGCCA